AAAAAATTCAAAACATCCCCCGATTTGCTGTGTAAAAGGCTTGGGTAGGCTTGTGTAGTTGTGTAGGTCTCGGTATTAAAGAAAATTGTTAAAAAGCAGTAAGCACATAATGTGCTACCGTTGCCACTCGCTCGCTGCGCTGCGATCAGAGAATGATAAAAAGACATGATAAACGTTGTGGCGCGCTCATACGTAAAAAACCCAAAATTGCTAACTTCCAAAGCCTAATAACTTCAAAACTAAGTCCGACCGACAAATTCTGATCGCACCATGGTTTTTAAATAGTTAAAATGAGTAGGTAAGTTCCAATAAGAAAAAATCGAAATATTTGCATGGGATGTAAAGTGCATTTTGGCCCAAATTACTCAGTTCCGTTGATAAGAATTTTGTATATTATTTTTATTACTAGCTCTAAGTATAACTCGGGGCCCGTTGGAATCGCTGAGAGTGGGTACCGATTTTGGAGACAATGAATTATAAAAGTCGCAAAGGTTGTAAGACGAAAGTTTAGGATTTGTGATAAGGATTAGTGATATGGATTGGAGATAAGGCTAGACGCTTTGGCGGGAATGTTAAAAGTTTGAGTGTCTAGCAATCCGTCACAAACGTTGTAAATGGATAGGCTGGATACAATCTCCAGGATCACCTATATAGAGTATACCTGCACATAGAGTGGTATGTGCCGTAGCATGACCGGTGCTTTATCTTATGTAAAAAGTGTAAAGTCGAAAACCGTGTTGGAGTTTCTAGCAAGTCAGTCATCTCAAGTCAAAATCTATTAACTTTCAAGTTAGCCACTTAGGTAGGCAATCCGACTTCGTCGGATCGCGGACTATGTGCTACAGCAAATCAGGTAGGCAATCCACCTGCGGTGGATTGCAGACACGACATCAAGCGGCTATAAGTGAAAACCCTATCACACAACTTACGAAATTATTTACGAAAAATTCAAACTATATACATACAAACAAATATGATATGTATTTATTGTGTGATATAATATAACAATGAACATTTTGAGAAATGTGCAATTATAATTCCTAAAAAATATTAACATATAGGTAGATAGTTAGATACATACTATTATATTAACCAATACATATAAACATGTACCTATAGTGTATATATATTAATTTAAAAAAAAATTGCAAAAACCTGCATGTTATTTGTTAAAGTGTCTATCAAGTCAATCATCACCGTTTAAGACGAAACTAAAATGAGCAATCCGTCTATCACCTATATATAGTAGGTATATCAAATAGAGTGGTATGTGCCTTCGCATGTCCGGTGCCTTTTCTTATGTAAAAAGTGTAAAGTCAAAAACCGTGTTGGAGTGTCTAGCAAGTCAGTCATCTCAACTCTCAAGTCAAAATCAAGATTAACTTTCAAGTTAGCCACCTAGGTAGGCAAACCGAAATAAAATACAAACTTTATTTATATAACAATCATGGAAATTTTAAAAAATATGCAATTATAATAATTCCTAATAAATTCCTAATAAAACAAATATAATATGTACCTATTTATTGTGTGATATAAAATGATAATGACTTTAAATAATAATAATGTACGATATGTTCCTGTATTATTATATTATTATTTAATTTATATGAAAAATAACGTGAAAAAAAATGCAAAAAAAATCGGGATTTGGGCGGCCGTGTAAACCATATGGCATTGACGGTTTCAATGCCTGGACGGCGTCCGACGGATTTGAACCCGGGACCTACGTGTTTCCTACCTAACGCCTAACCTACTCGGACACAGTTTGAGATATGAAAGACAGTGAAAACATCAACAATTAAGCCGTGCGACTACGGAGCGACGTAAACCGATATTTCCGATGTACATCGATGTAATCGCTTATAATTCGCTTGTAATACGCGCATCTCCCATATATATATTTAACGGGGCGTGTGAAAAGCGTTTTCCGTTAATAATTATTAAATCATAAGGAAAAATTAAATTATACACCTATATACATGTATATATACGCGTACGGCTGGTCGGTCGCCGGCGTAATTTCCAAACGCGATTGCGAGGCGAACGAACCGATTTTGGGGGAAAAGCGCATATAAACGACTTCAAAAAGACTCGATTCGGACACAAACGGGTGCGAATAGACGAAACGGTGGGAGAAAAGGAAAAAATCGGCAAAAAAGTCCGGTCGGGAGTGTATTTATTGATCGACATTGAACACGAATATAAACCGCACACCGGTTACTTCGAATTAAGTATATAAAAGGGCGAAAAGATATCGTGTAAAAACAGCTAATTTTCCGAAAATCGGCGAAATGATAGGAAAACAGGAGATAACGAAAAACGTTTTAAAACCGACCGCCGCCACTGCGAAGGTACGCGATTGGTCGCGCTATAAGGAATCGACGGGATATGGCCGGCGGGCTGGGGAAACGGAGCAGTGCTTCATTTTTTACGCCATGGGTTCGCTATAGCCGGCGTTTTCCTTTCCATTGGCCCCCAATATTATCAGTCAGCTGTTCTTCATTTTATAGTATTAGACTAGCTCTAAGTATAACTCGGGGCCCGTTGGAATCGCTGAGAGTGGGTACCGATTTTGGAGACAATGAATTATAAATGTCGCAAAGGTTGTAACTTGTAAGACGAAAGTTTATTATTTGTGATAAGGATTAGTGATATGGATTGGAGATAAGGCTAGACGCTTTGGCGGGAATGTTAAAAGTTTGAGTGTCTAGCAATCCGTCACAAACGTTGTAAATGGATAGGCTGGATACGATCTCCAGGATCACCTATATAGAGTATACCTGCACATAGAGTGGTATGTGCCGTAGCATGACCGGTGTTTTATCTTATGGAAAAAGTGTAAAGTCGAAAACCGTGTTGGAGTTTCTAGCAAGTCAATCATCTCAAGTCAAAATCTATTAACTTTCAAGTTAGCCACTTAGGTAGGCAATCCGACTTCGTCGGATCGCGGACTATGTGCTACAGCAAATCAGGTAGGCAATCCACCTGCGGTGGATTGCAGACACGACATCAAGAGGCTATAAGTGAAAACCCTATCACACAACTTACGAAATAATTTACGAAAAATTCAAACTATATACATACAAACAAATATGATATGTATTTATTGTGTGATATAATATAACAATGAACATTTTGAGAAATGTGCAATTATAATTCCTAAAAAATATTAACATATAGGTAGATAGTTAGATACATACTATTATATTAACCAATACATATAAACATGTACCTATAGTGTATATATATTAATTTAAAAAAAAATTGCAAAAACCTGCATGTTATTTGTTAAAGTGTCTATCAAGTCAATCATCACCGTTTAAGACGAAACTAAAATGAGCAATCCGTCTATCACCTATATATAGTAGGTATATCACATAGAGTGGTCAGTGGTATGTGCCTTCGCATGTCCGGTGCCTTTTCTTATGTAAAAAGTGTAAAGTCAAAAACCGTGTTGGAGTGTCTAGCAAGTCAGTCATCTCAACTCTCAAGTCAAAATCAAGATTAACTTTCAAGGCAAACCGATATAAAATACAAACTATATTTATATAACAATCATGGAAATTTTAAAAAATATGCAATTTTAATAATTCCTAATAAAACAAATATAATATGTACCTATTTATTGTGTGATATAAAATGATAATGACTTTAAATAATAATAATGTACGATATGTTCCTGTATTATTATATTATTATTTAATTTATATGAAAAATAACGTGAAAAAAAAATGCAAAAAAAATCGGGATTTGGGCGGCCGTGTAAACCACATGGCATTGACGGTTTCAATGCCTGGACGGCGTACGACGGATTTGAACCCGGGACCTACGTGTTTCCTGCCTAACGCCTAACCTACTCGGACACAGTTTGAGATATGAAAGACAGTGAAAACATCAACAATTAAGCCGTGCGACTACGGAGCGACGTAAACCGATATTTCCGATGTACATCGATGTAATCGCATATAATTCGCTTGTAATACGCGCATCTCCCATATATATATATTTAACGGGGCGTGTGAAAAGCGTTTTCCGTTAATAATTATTAAATCATAAGGAAAAATTAAATTATACACGTATATACATGTATATATACGCGTACGGCTGGTCGGTCGCCGGCGTAATTTCTAAACGCGATTGCGAGGCGAACGAACCGATTTCGGGGGAAAAGCGCATATAAACGGCTTTAAAAAGACGTCGACTACACGATTCGGGCACAAACGGGTGCGAATAGACGAAACGGTGGGAGAAAAGGAAAAAATCGGCAAAAAAGTCCGGTCGGGAGTGTATTTATTGATCGACATTGAACACGAATATAAACCGCACACCGGTTACTTCGAATAAGTATATGAAAGGGCGAAAAGATATCGTGTAAAAACAGCTAATTTTCCGAAAATCGGCGAAATGATAGAAAAACAGGAGATAACGAAAAACGTTTTAAAACCGACCGCCGCCACTGCGAAGGTACGCGATTGGTCGCGCTATAAGGAATCGACGGGACACGGCCGGCGGGCTGGGGAAACGGAGCAGTGCTTCATTTTTTACGCCAAGGGTTCGCTATAGCCGGCGTTTTCCTTTCCATTGGACGCCAATATTATCAGTCAGCTGTTCTTCATTTTATAGTATTAGATTTTGTGAGTTTGTGACGTCATTTAACATGCGTATCGTTGAGTAAAATTGTGTGACACTACCTAAACTATCATATCATGTTATAGTCAACCACCGAAGTAGCAAATCTTTTTCACATGCCTTATCAGTAATAATTGTTTAACAGGAACAATTTGTTTTTATTCTTTAGAGCTGCTCATTGCTCAGTTCTGACTTTCTGAGACTAGACGTTGACCTCTAGAACTACAAATATAATTTTTTTTTTAATTGAATATTATTAGTTTCATTAGTCGCTCATCACTCATCAGTCTAACCTTCAAAATATTAAACTTTTTTTAGTCATAAAACCTATAATTTATTTTTTTTAATCACAAAAAGTACAAAATAATATGGCTTCCACGGGTAAGAAATTGTTTGAACAACTCAAGAGTAAAGAATTCCGTGCTTATTTAATGAGGTAAAAATTAATGAATTGTTCTTGATTCGTTATGAGTGCAATTGAAGTATACATTTTTTAAAATTATTTTAGTACTCATTTTTGGGGTCCGGTAGCAAATTGGGGTATACCAATAGCAGCACTATCAGATGTTAGAAAAGATCCTGAACTAATAAGTGGTAAAATGACTGGAGGTAATACATTTATTCTTAATTCAATTTTGGATATAGTTATAATAATTTATGATGTTTTCTTCAGCTCTATGCTTGTATTCAATTGCATTCATGAGATTCGCCTGGAAAGTCCAACCACGTAATATGCTTTTGTTTGCTTGTCATGCAACAAATGAAGTAGTTCAAGTGGTCCAATTTTCAAGATTCATTAATTATAATTATCTATCTAATAAAGAGGATAATAAAAATGAAATAGCTTAAATATTCCATTTTTTTTTTCTTATTTTGGTATACGATACAACATACGTAATTTATTATTTAAATCAAAATTTTATTGTGATAGGCTTCTGTAACATGCATTTATAGAAATGCATAGTAAATGTTACATAATGGCATCCACTTGTTACCATTGTAAACAAATGTTGACAATATAATTATTTAATTTAGATAATGTATTTATATTATTTGCTCATTTTGTATTTCATTACCATTGTAAGAAAATGAGATATACTTGGCTGTTTATAACGATTACAAATTTAACGTGTATACTTTACTTTTATTTGTTATAAGGTTTTTTCTTATGATACCGTTATTTATTTTTAATAAATTATAATTGTAGCCTTTAACTGCGTACTTATTTTTTATATTGTTTATTTCAATATCATCCATATTGTGTTTAAAGAATAATAGAATTTATTATTCTTTCACCTACATCTCAGAGGGAAATGTCAAAATGAAGAATATTATTTGAATAAAGCTTATATCTTGTGGATATTTCCATAAAGATTCCTCTGATTTAATGGTCAGTGAATAATATGTAAAAATGTATAATTATAAAAATAAATTACCATCAACATTTTAATAGGAGTAAAATAATTTAATATTTGGTTAAAAAAAAAAAAAAACAACAACAATATTAGTATTATTTATAATTTATAACCTTTATAACCTTTTGATAGTTAATAAATAAGCAATTATATTAATGATATAAACATCAGATGATAATTATTAATACTAATAGAATAAATTATATTAATTTGTATGTTCTATCTAAATAATGTCATTTGAAATTTAAGTATGTTGATTAATATGTTTATAAACAAAATATAAATCATACAAATTATAATTACAATACTGTCGCACATAAAATAAAAAACTGATGCACTTCTAATGTTAGGAATTAGAATATATGAAAATTAAAAACTTAATTATTAACATTATCATTATTAAAATTACTATTTGATCACATTTAATGGACGGATTCAGTTTAAAATTAACACATACATGCACTGCATTTACCAGTTAAACATATAGAACATGATAAAAATAACTAAAAATAAAATAGAAAATACATTTAAAAGAAGTACAATTAAAAATACATTTTATGCAATCCTTTAAAAATATTGGGAATGTATAAAAACTTAATTTTATTGAGAATATACTTTTCAAATTAAACGATGAGTTTCAAAATAAGAGATTCAGTCAAAATTGATTGAAATTAAAAATAAAATAAAATATTTGAAAGGTTATTGATCTATAACTTTTGGTCATTTGCAAATATCAATTAAACTTATAATATAATTAAAAATACATTTTTGATAGAACACATCAGTCTACTTTGAGTACTAGCTATTGAGCCCACATCAATAAACTACACAAGACTAATACCATAACGTAAAAAACATTACTAAGAGGAAGTGCAGCTCCAGCTATACGACATTTGAAAGTATCATACCTATAAAAACCATAAAAAGTTAAGAATACTCTATAGTCTATTTTAATCTACTGATTAATCTACATACCTTGTTTTATTGTTATGTAACATGTGCATAAATTCATCTTCCATCATTTGGCCGTCAAAATAAGTGAAATCTTCTTCCTCAAATGGAAATTCATAACCTTGTATACATTCACATTTGTAACCACCGGTGTCGTAACCACGCCCTTGTATTGGTACACACTGAAACATGATTTTTGTAAGTAAAATAGTATAAAAATGAATATAAAATAGAAAAATATGTAGAATAAAGTATCCATATTTAAGTTAATATGAATTTTCCTAGTATTTAGTTAAAAAAGGTAAATTGTTTATAATAAAAGCTTTAGAAACTTAAATTAATAAGTAATATTATCAGAAATGTATTGCACTCTCCAATTTAAAGTTGAATATCAGTTACACACAGACAACATTCTGAATTAAATGACAATTCAAAAAGTTAAAAATTGATTAATTTAAGTGTTACAATTTCAATAATGTAAAAATTTATTTTAAGAATCACGAGTAGGTATTTTAAATATGTGTAAACAACAATTTTGATATTCATATATTATCATTATAAAATATGATAAACAGTGTTTAACTTTTGGTCATAATTCATCACGTATAGAGTTAAGTTATTGTTTGCAAGAAATTTAGACTTAAAACAAATAAACTGAAAAAACTTAATTTTAAACAATTTGATTTTGTAAGAATACTTTATTCTGTATTTGTTGGGCTGTAGGTTTTAAATAAAAATGAACATACATATGAACTACGTTGATCACATTTGTGTGTTCCTTTAAATGCATTGGGATCATAAAATTTGTGAGGACACTGATTTATGTCCAAATTCAAAAGTGGCATTGTAACTGTAATTGCTCCTCTGAAAATAAAATATGTATTATATTAGATGTGTTCTCAGAATTTTAAATTGTATTTAAGAGTGGTTTTATATTTAATAAAAAATACTTTAAAATCTGTTAAACGTAAACATTAAGTAACATTGGGAAAGATGTGGTAGAATAAACACATTACATGGGAAAAGGAGATTATCCATACATTAAGTAACAGAACTTAAAAATTAAGCAACAGGAATCAATTACTGGGAAGCACTCGACGTGTTAATACTAAATTTAAATAGAACTTACTTAAATTCCAATTTAACCTTGAGACTATCCCAGCCAAAAAATGGAACAGCATAACGAATGAACCAATCTTTTGCAGGACCATTACAATCATAATAAGGAGCTGACCAATAACCATGATCCAAATTTGCAGCTCTAAAATTTGATTTCAATTATATATTAACCAATTGGTATTTTTATTAGTTATAGTTTATTACCTGTAAAAGGTAGGATAATATTCAAATTTGTTCAAATGGCCGCCTTCTTCAGTATATCGTAACTTTAACTTGACATAAAACTTTTCTAAACTATCAAAATTAGTAGACCATCGTTGTTTTGTAAAAGTAAACCATTCTTTATTTGTATATACTTCATCTAAACATTTCAATAACTATTATACTGATATCAAGTAATTAAATTATGTACGAAATAATAATATTAATTTACCAGACTTGTTTAATCTGGCTAAATCTTCAACAAAGACCTTTCGACCATAATTCACCGTTTTATAAGCGTATGGAGCAAAAAGAGTACGATTAGGAAATTTATTTGTATCCCAGAAAATACCAGCTGACCATATTTTAAAATCGGCCATTACAATAGACAATGCTTCTCCAATCATTTCATCTTCAGATAAATGCTTGTCAGCCACTCTTGTACCAGAATAAACCTCTTTTGGATCTGATATCTGAAAAAATATTTATTGTATAATATAAAATAAAATTACACCAAAAATATTTTATAAGCACAAAAATAGTTACTTGTAAGAATGCACTAATAAAGTTAGCAAGTCGAACAGCCATTTTAGCTTCATTGGCAAATTGTTGATGAGCTCCAAATCCATAGTCACCTAAAAGTTGTAAGTCTTCCTTACGATAACTAAAAATTCAAACATTTAAATTTAATCTATTTCAATGTTGTATGAAGTATCTTACTTATTGCAATTATTTGGATTTACTCCTCGTATGGAATTAATAACTTCATGGATATTGATATGAGAATCTTTTACAGATCCTAATCCTGGAGTAAAGTTTTTGTATTCAGAATTTTTTTCTAAATATTGCTCACGAAGATATGGTTCCATTTGACTTGGGAAAACAATTTTACTTTGAAGCCCTTAAATAAAAAAAATATATATATACATAAGCAAATGTGCTTTGTCATAGGTGTACACATTAAAATAACATACATCCAATACGTTTACAGTCAAATACTCCACTGTAATATTGTTCAAGTGTCGCCCGTTCTATAATTTCTCCAAGGAATGGACGACGAACTGTATTTCCTAATCGATAGCCAGGTAAACATCGACATTGATAGCCACCTCGCCGAAAACCCCAACCATCCAATGGTTCACACTATAAATATATATAGATGTTATTTAATTATTTCTAAATTATATTTATAAAATACTTACTAATGTAGTTTCTTCTTTACATTTTGCCGTATCTGCAAAACGATTAGGACCAGAATTTCCTGCACTTACAGGACATTGATTAATGTCTATCCTCTCAAAATCCATTTCTATCACTGACACAGCGGTATAACTAAATGATTAACATATTATTACATACTTATAAAATTAATTTAGTTTCATTATAGTTTCAAAAGAAAGCATACGTAGGGTATTCAACATGTCGAAATCCAGTATGTCGAGGATATATGTCGGCGATTGGTACAACAGCCGCTACCAACCACTTGTTACTACGTCCACAATCAAAATATGGTCTTGTCCACTTAATTGGACCAGGAATGTCATCAGCCCCTAGCGCACAAAAGATAATTATATTTACATAGAAATATTACAAAATGTTTTGAATAAAATTGTTATAAATATTGATGTTACAAAATAACAAAATTTACCTGGCGGACCATGGAATGTATGTGTTTCATTTGTATTATTGGCATAACGAATTTCTACTTGGTAAGTAGTCTTAGTATCATGTCGTCCAACAACATTATCAGGAAGCCACTTTGAATACCTAAAATATTGTTTTTAAATTCAATATATAATCATTCAAAGATTATAACAAATAATTAATTACCATTCATTAGTTCCATAATGTTTTGATGTGTAATCCTTTGTAAGACTTTCATTAGAAAATGCGCCCAAATCTCTGACAGTAAATGTATTTAAGGTTGACATTTTTTCCAAATGTATAGGATCATTGAAATCATCCGCTCTAATTATTAACAAATTCATTATATTTTAAACTACTTATATTTAACAATTATATTATATTCATTTGGTATAGGTGAATTAATTACCGAAATGTCCTGGGAGCAAAGTATGGAAATGTCTTATTGAAAAACCCTCTGTAGGATGGCGAATAAGACATATTTGGTGCAAAATATATGGCACTTGCGTTAATGTGAGAATTAGCTGACACATCAGCAACTGTCGACAAGAAATAATACATCATACCTGGATCGTATGTATCATTAATTGCTGGACGTATAAATCTGGCTTGTGATATGTAACTAAAGAAAAATCCTCTATTTAATGCCATGTTGCTCAAATGCAGCAAAGCCGTACGATTGGGGAATACAGGATTGATCACGACATCTTTGATGTCCGGTATATGTGACACAGTGTCTTCGGGCAAATATATCTCGCTCAACGGTTGAAAACCACAGTTATCAGAATTTATTTTGTCTAACTTAAGCCGGATTTCATCCACCGCATCTTTAGGTTGCCATTCGTACTGGGCGTTCGTCCAAGAGACGAACATAAACAATAAATACGTCAGGTGAAACATTTTTTGTCAGAGCACTCCTTCAGATTTTTACACTCATTTAAAAGAAAAAACAACAATGCTTTACAGACATATAAAATGTAAAAAAAAAGCAATAGTTAAGACACTAGATGATCAATAAAAAATTAAACGCATAATGATCACTACTTTCGACGATGTTTAATGACTTTAAATTAATATTCTATATATCCGGTATTCGCTTTTTACAGGTGTAGGAATTTTTAAATGTAACTGGGTGGAGTTGTTTTGTCTGAAATTGTTTTGTTTACATCGGACATCGAATAAAAAGTTATAGGTTATCAACAGTTGGTGTAATCACTACCATCTACCACTTGTTGCTGACAGTGCAACCAAACGAAAACTATTTTTCCTTATCTATGAAACGCCTATGAATCAGATTAATAATAGCATGAAAAATATTTAGAATACCTAATTTATTATAGGTAGGTATGAAAAATAAAAATATTCTTCTTATTATAGTATAGTAATATAGTATATTGTATATACTTATATAACTTATACATAATATTATAATAGTTTAAAGATTCTTTAATAATTTAATCTATGATTATACATTTATACTGCAGAATAGATTAATAATAATATATTTAAGATTAATCTATTCTGTAATTATATTATTATTTATTACAGTACCTAATAGTAGTAATAGTGTATTACAGTATACAAAAAGAATATTATATTAAGGCGCCCGGTGCCTATGACATTTTGTCCTCAAAAATACACTCAGAGGGAATAACGATACCGCCTTGTAGAATCAACCAAATTTTATAATTTTTTTTTTTTTAATTGCTAGAGGGAAATATTCTACGGCCCGCATGGATCTCTGTTTTTCAATATTTTATTCTCAAACTTTATAATATGTCTAAAAATATACAAGATAAAAAGCATTTTTTTTTCAAATTGCTTAATACAATTATTTGAAATAAAATACAAAATTAGAGAACTTTTCTTCTTTCAAATAAAAAAATAGTCATCAAAATCCTATAATTCTACAAAGCTTGAGAGTTATTCCCGTCGAGTAATTTTTTTCGATATAATCCTATCAATGATCAACTCATAAATAGGTATCGGGTCTACTAGTGCACTATTAGTGGAAAAGTCTTATAATTGAGGTGGCAACTCAAACATATGAAATTTAATTTTCAAATTTTATAGAATTGTGGAAAATTTGAATAACTGGCACCTTAAAATAATTATCTATAATACGTTGGATTGTTCGCAGCAGGTCCATCGGAACCAGAAGTTATATGTAATTGATAACTTACACTCGAGAAGTAAGATTGATGGCTACGATTTAAAGATATTATATCCTTAATCCGTAATCGTGTTGGTGACTGGTGGTTCTCGTCATGGTTGCTTCGAAGTTCGAAGTTTCCCGAGTAAACGTATATGCTAAGTGCCTACATCCCTACCACTTGCGTGTTTTCAGTTTCTCACGTACCTACTTTTTCAAGTTTCAACACATCCAAATTATTTTAGAGAGTTTAATAGGTACATATGTTAAATTAAGGGCTACGTTTTTCCTTAAAAATGTTTACTGAGGGTGACATATAGTAAATCTAGTAGACAAAAGCTATTACCTATAACTCTGTACAACTCCATTTAACACCATGTTTTTTTGATGGACTAATAGTACCTATACGAAAAGTGTGGGCTTACTATATTCACACTTATAAACTGTCTTTTAGCGTTGAGATGATTTAAATTACCAATTCAACAACATTATTTTACTAATTTAAAAATAGTACCTAGTTAGAACCACAAAAAATATAAAAGTTTAATTTACTGTAATAATTAGATAACTGCCAGGATAATTGGATAGGTATTGAGCACACTTTAAACTATTAAATACTGACCAAATGACAATACTTATAAAGACACATAGTTATATACTAATACATAAACTCAATAATTTTTAAATACATTAACCTAGGTTCTAAGGAGGCTAGAAGAAATACATATTTCTGTAGATATTTTTAAATAATGGATGTAGGAAATCGTTGATATAATTTTTTGTGTATCACAAATTGGAAAATAATGTGTGTATATAGGATTTAGGAACACTTATTAGTAATTTAATACAATACAATTTACAGGGGATTTTTTATTTTTACATTAATTAAAATATTACAATAACTCGATGAAAATCGATAAAAATAAAATTACTATAATCCTATAGTTAATTAATTGCGAACAATAGTAGTTTAAATAAGCAAAAATTGTTTATTATTCTTAATATACAAACTTAAACCAAAAACTTAACCAACGAACGATTTAAATCAATGACGTAATCGTTTGAGATCCATTATGACCACTCGGAAGTCGCCACAACGAATTGAGCCCACAAATGATTATGCCACCAATAATGTTGGTTCTAAATAATTTTATTTTAATCAATTATTTAATAATAATAAAAAATAATAAATATTTTAAGCAACAATTAAAATTCTAAAAGAGCATTATTTGCTTTGTGCATATAATTAATTTTATTTCCTCAGATCTATGTAGTTATTAAATTAGGTATAGTTACTTCGATTTAAGTACAACGTCACTATTTTTGAAAGCATATGCATAACGTTTTCGTATACGAACGCCATTTAAATGTGTACAGGATTCGTATATAAATCATTTTTATATACTTTCAAAAATAGGGTCTTGAGGGAGGTACAATTAATATTTAATACTAAAATGACAGTCGGTAAGCAATATCCAGGAATCTTCTTAAAATAGAGCATCGGAGCTCCTATGCTATGTTTTGTTTCTAAAATAATTGTTTTGTTTTTTAATATTAGTTACCTATAAAAATGATCAAATGCATGAATAACACAGATATAATATTCGATAACCAGTTTGACAATTTGTATGCTGCCGAGGGATAGGTTATTGAAAGGAATTAAGAATTTTTAGATTCATTCGTTCTCACTGCCATTAACAGATGCAACTGCTTGTAGATTGGCCATATACTTAACAGCTCGTGTCCGAGAGGTTTGCTTCCGTTCTGTACGTTTTACTTTCTTAAGCATGGTCGCCTAAAACAAATTGTTTTTATTACTCTTTGATATATTCTATAGGTATATTACTATATTAGCAGTACAATTTTAACTTATATTTCAGAATTAATTTTATTAAATGAAAAAAAAAAACTTTAAAAAATCAAAACTAAACATACAATTTAAATGTGGGTCAGGTAACTATAGCAAAATTATAAAAAAAAATAACGCTGAACAAAAAATAAATATTGGCAAATGGAAATAGGTACATGAACATGAACATGAAGCATGAATATGAATAATGATAAATTAACTTCATATTAAAACTTAGAGTTCAAACTTAAAATTAAGTATTTAATATTTTATGTTCAACCAATTATACGACATACTTTTAAAGCAGATTTAAGAATGACTAATTCACCAGGTCCTTGGACCCAAGGTTCACCATCGATTTGTACGGGAACTTCATTAGTTAAATGAATTTTAACGTGTCCACCCTGAAAAAAAAGTATTAGATTTTAGGTAAAACAAAATAAATAAATTATAAAACATACCTGAGAAATTCGTTTAGCGTATCTAAGCCCTGTTTGGATCTGTCCTAAATGAACTACTCCAGATACAGCCACAACCTCTAGCATACCATCCCAGTGATTTGGTGTAGAAAATTGTTCTTCATTGCAATTTCGTCCCCATGGTTTAGCTCCTGACCCCCAACTAAAAACAAATAACAAGTGTTATTAATTGTTTTGTAAGTACTATTACGAACTGAATACCTCAAAATATTTAAAATAATAAGTCCTTCAAGTTGAGGAAGTACTACTAATTTCCCATCCACTTCCAGACGAACTCCGTGTTGAAGATTTTTACAAGGGGGATGAATTATTTTCCGTAACCCAACGTTTAAGTATTCAATCTTGTTGCCGATTCTATAATAAATAAAATATAACCATTAGACTTTGTATATTAGGTAATGATACAAAAAATATTCTGCTTAATCGAAATAAATATAATAATATAGTATAAAAGACTATAGTGTGCATAGGTTAGGCGATGATTCCGTCACTAAAACCGGGTGGTCACCCATCCGGTAGCTATTACGCCGGACGATGCTTGACAGCAGCACACATTAGCGACTGCGGGCAACCACCACGCCAAACCAGGTCCTTATTTTAATTTTATTCGTGATGTATCATACGACTTAAATTGCTATGTATAGTATGCGTTTTATTTAAAGTCTCTTTTATCTTAAATTGTATTGTATTTATAGTTCACTATACATGGATTTGATATGTTAATTATTTATATTTCATTAGTAATTTTAGGTACTGACCGGATCGATAAATGTATTGATTTTACAATGATGTGTGTTTATTTATTTTTTCTATTAAAAAGAATGCTCCAATCGTCCACTTTGAGGGTGGTTTCTGGTAGCGAATTGAATCTAGCTTGGGGTTGACATATTTTATTTTACTGAAACCGGGACAAACATTTTTTGTATACTTTTTATGGGAAAAATCCCACCTCTCCTCCGCCTATCATCAGTAATCAGTTTCAATACATTATTTTTCTGTAATACCTAAAATACCACACACAATGTAGTCAGCATTCTACGACAATACGACATAGTGGACGTTTGTAAGGTAATAATTAACTCAACGTTAATAATCGGAACGAGTAACCGACAAAATTATCGATAAGGAATAACAAAAATTGTCGTTGGGGAACAGAACAACTACGAATATATTCATCAATAATAATTAACTTGGTTATATTTTTATCATTTTACATTTATCAAAACAATATTGTTTTTCTTCTAGAAATATTCAGTAAGAGATAGGATGAGAACATAAATCATTGAAGTTTAATTCCAGAACATTTGTCAATTGGCCGACCTGAAATACTTTATCGGGACCACGGGACGATGAAGGACGTTATATTCAAAACCATTACAGTCCCGACCAAACCAAATCCTTAACCTAGCTTGTACTTTGGTGTAGAAATAGTAGACATTTTTCAGTACTTTTTAGAATAATCGGGTGAAAACCTAACCTATAGAGTTAAAAACGTTGCCAGATATGGCAGTAGGTGTGTTCGGAAAATACATTTTACAAGTTTACATATACTAGTTTACTTGTACATATTATACAAGTTTTATAGTAACATGTTATTTAATTGGACCAGTATGCTTTTGAATTTATGATGGTGCACTAATAAGTTGATATTAAATTGGAAATTGTCTGATAGAAAAGAAATATATTATATTTATTATTATTATTATTTAATTATTTAATACTTTTTGATTAAAAAAGTAGCATGCAACTAGATATTTTTCCTCTGCAAGGAAAATTGAGGAATCATGTATAATATGTTTTTTGGTATAGTGTAGAGGAAAAATACCTAGTAGCATGCTATTATATAGATTGATTTTTAGAATAATACTTAATTGTTGATTTGCGTTTCTATGGAGATAAACAAAATAGGTTAGACAAAAAAATATGTTAGAACGCCCTAAGAACATAAATATAGCGAATATTGTCGAATTTTTAATGAAACATGGTCAATAAACTACTTTTTTATCGAATAGGATATTACAATGGATAAATTGTTTGTATTGTGTGTGAAGGAATACACAAATTCAGTTCACAGATCAAGGGAAACGGATGAGTGCTTATTCAATTTTAAGAATTGGAACAACAAAAATCCAAACGGACTTTTCATTATTAGTTAACGAAATACTATGCCAAATTTTACATTAACAATAAATGTAAAACATCTTTACACATTATTATTATTATTATTGTATTCTTGGAATTTATAGTTAAAATAGTTCACAAATTAATGAATAAATTGTACCTATTTGCAATAATTAAAATTTTTTTTTTTAGATATTTGTAGGTGGCCATGGGTAGAATACCTTCATGGCTTCATGAACCGCGCTTTTGGCATCACTGGTCTATAAATGGTATACACTATATTACTATAATATACCTAGTGTGTTTTAGAATTTTATCGGAGAAAGGAATGTCCTGGTATTATTGGTCTTGCAGTAATGAGTCACTCATTATGAGTGGAGTTTTTTTGCGTTCGTTTAGGAGCAGAACATTCGCTATACTCTTCAATTTTAAGTATTGTACTGGGTTGAAAATTCGATCTATTTAGAACTTTGGGAAATCAATACCTAGTAATATATTCCCAGTATAGGTATTAATTAGAATAATTATGAAAATTAGTATTTATAAACTCGATTTTGTTTTGTTGTTGAAAATAATATAACTTTAAGAAGTTATAAATTATTTAATGTAAATAGTTGATTGTGTTGTAAAATGCTTACCGACTGTTAAATCTTTCTGGATTTTTTTCCCGAGCTTTATGAAATGCAAGGCATAAATCGGCATCAATACCGATGCCAAAATAATTGTTCATAACAAAAATCTGAGTATTGTCTTCACTCATCCCTTTAATAAAATGAATAGTAGATGTATAATAATTAATATGTATAAATACAAGAATGGATACAGTGAAACCTCCATTGAAGGACACCTCCCAATAACGGACGTTCTCTTGGGAACCAACTATAAATAGTGGACACCTCCGAATTGTAACCGAGAGTGTCTGGTATTTAGAGGTTTCACTGTATAAATATACCTAGACGTATGTAATTGTCATATGTATGAATATATATAATATACATTGAAAAAAAAACTTACCAACTGAATTAGGCACATGAATTGGTCGACCATCCGCTCTATCTTCATGGTGAATAACCACTGTCCATCTATCTAATCTAATTTTTTCTGCTTCAATGACATCCTCTAATAATTGTATAGGTTCATCCGAGCCATTATACCCGGCGCCCCATTTCAGTACACGAGCTAAATCATTACCAGTTCCTAATGGAACAATAGCACATGGTGGCGATGAACATTCACTGTCTTGGCCCACGTTATCCAAACACTGAAGCACCCAGCCAATCGTACCATCGCCACCACAAACTAAGATTTTGTAATCTCTAATATGTCTGAACACATACAACCTAAAAATGAAACAGCTATTTTTATAACTATTTTAATTCAGATACAATTAATTAATTAAACTAATTATTATTCAGTAAAGTCCTAAGTTTTTGAATTTATTGGTCTTATACATTAATTAGGTACCTACACATAATCAGATTGAATGTGCGTTATAGCTTTGTGTGATAATAAAATAATTATTTTATATAGGTACCTAATCAATAATACTGTGAATAATATACATTATTGCTCATCGACACACTATTAGGCATCGCCGTTTTCGACCAAAAACGTACCCTTCCCTTTTCGATCTATCCCGTTTGCCCAAAACAAAAAGTTCAATAATAATCAATATTACATAGTATATATTTTAGGTCTTTATGTTATACTCATAGAGTAATAGGTTATACTTATAGAAAATTATTAAAAATATATATGTTGTATAAGTATAACAAAAAGTCCCGAAGTATATAATATTAATTACCTATTGTTGTTGAACTTTTTGTTTTGGCCTAAAAGTGAATCGGCCGAAGAGGGAAGGGTACATTTTTGACATATATAATAAAGATATGGATAGGCCACGCATATGTTAAATATATTTGAGGCTGCGTTCCCGAAGGGGAGGCAATTGAGGCTCCTTTATCTATAGCCGTGATTGATAGTCGATAGTCGATACTCGATATAATTTAATTGGCCTCAATTGTTCCCTTCAGGGACCGCTGATAAGACCATTATGTCTATTATCTATGGTTTTTTACCAAAAACGGTCTGGCCCTTTATATTTAGGTACTTATTTTATAATGATAAATAAAAACTACACGGGATTCCCCTTTGTATTATAAGTTACAATATATCACAATATTAAGTCATATAATAAATATTTAAAAATAAAGTACCTATGCAATTATTTTGATTTTTGAAAGATAATTATGAAAATATTTTGACCCAAAAAACCTAAAATAAAATATTGAATTCCAAAAAAAATTTACTATCATTAAAATTACACTTAATTGTTATTAAAAAATAAATATTTTTAATACCCAGGAAGTGGTCCTCCGTTTCCCAAATCAAAAACTTGATAAGGATTAAGCAGTTTTCGGAAACTAGATATCAAGCTCAAACCTTGACAACCACCTGATTTGACATTTACAAATACTAATAATGGTTGTGTTTCGGCTGGTACCATTACTGGGTCAATGTTTGGTAATAACATAACTAACAGATGTTTGTGTTCATATTCAGCGCCTCTAAGAAGATACATTGCGTTCACAGCAATTTTAGTTTCATTGTACATAATTACCAACGAACCATACTCGTAATAAATTGGTCCAATAGTTATAAACCTACAATCTATAGAAAAACAAAACATAATTTAAAAATATATTCTTCATCTCATTATATTAATTCATCAGAATATACATTAATTACCTTCTCCTAAAAATGTCATTAATATATTTTCGTATGTTCGCTGAGATAAATTTGTCGGCAAATTTCCAATAAATAAAGCGATATTAGGACCGTGAGGATCCTGCTTAAGTTGCAAATAGAACCGCATTAATTCCATTTGTCGGAGAGATTCTTGCCCAATATTTTTTATTATATCTAATGGTTTTTCATCGAAATCTAGTACTCGTTCCGTCACTTTAAAATAGTAAATAAATTAAAAATAATGAAATAACAATAATTATTGCGTTTTGCTAAATCTTGAAAATGTACCTCCATGTTCCAACAAAAGCTGGCTGAGTCTATAGTCTGTTGAATTGTGTGAAGTAAAGCCGAACCGAGTCAAAGATTCAACGATCAGATCTTTGGCCGTAGTTTTTCGATCAACGGAAACTACGCAAAAAGGTATATCAGTCTGCAAGCGCCCAGGATAAACTCTAACCAAACCACCGTGACTGTCTTGTCTAAAATAATATTTTTAATAAATAGTAAATACATTATATTCTATTGACTATTTTCCAATTAACTAACTTTAGGCGTAGAAAAACGGCAGGTTTCTTGCCTCCTAATCTAGTAACGTTATTTATTGGATTTGGGTCCTCCAGTATTGGTTCGTTTAAACCATACGCGTCAGTCAAATAAAAGTTTTCTAAAATTATAAAATAAAAAATTTATTAAACAGCTCACACAAAAATTGACTTGTATTGCGGTACTTACTAGAGGGTACTATATATACATACATATATATATACATATATATAAATCGTATAGGTAGGTATTACACTATTACGTATGCATGCAAGCCTATACGCGATCATAATATAATAAGGAGTTATATAAGAACTGTTAAAGGAAAAAAGAATGCTTAACCCGATTAAAAATGGTAAAGAGATCGAAAAAATATAATTCATGTGTATACATTATTTGTGTAAGTAATAAGTATATAAACGTATAGTAGGTAAAATTCATGAGGAGTATATAACTCTTGAGTGGTTTGCGCCTGTTTGACAAGCGGATGGAAGCGCGTTGATAGCAATAATGACTGTAAATATAGTATAGGTTGCCGGGAAAATACAAAGGGGGAGAACTAGGAGACTAGGGGAAGAACCCGGACGTAGCTGATGGCTATACAGTACAGGGGAAACGTATGGTAGGAAATATTCACGAGAGTACAAGACAAGTGATATGGACTGAGATAGTACCGCACTAATTGGTTTTAGGGTGCAAAGATTTTGTGAAGCAAAAATGGAAACGGTACTAAACATATTTTCAAATAAGGTATCTCTGAAAATGAAGAAATATTTATTAAAATATTTAAATAATAATTTCGCGCAGTTATTACAAAAAAAATCATTTTTAATCAACTATTAGGTACTTATTAAATATTTAGTTATTCATGCAAATGTGTAACTATCATACAGAATAATCCTGCTGAGTGCGGACTGAAGATTATTTTCAAAATAATAATATTTTAATCGTGTTCATAATAATTACCTGCAGATTGAGAGATATTTAATGATTGAAGTATTGTAGAAATGAGCGTCTCGGTTTTTACTGCTTTTGGAACTTTGACCGTGAAACTTGTATGTTTTAGGTATGATGCGTCGCCATCATACACTTTAACTAGTTCTACATTAAAAATTGAATTAAACATTAAATATTCATAATAATATAATATACTGCTTAGCAGTTGGCACAATTAATTTTTTATAAGCACCTTCATTTTTATCTTCTAATTTTTTTTCAACTTCATACATTTCTTCATCTTCAATGTCTTTAGTTTTACTTTCACCACTACTAAATTCAATCGAAATACTTCGAGCTAATAAACATAATAACGATCAGTTAATTTATTATTTTTATTTTCGAGTCCATCTTACGAGTAGCTTTTTCTTTTCTGCGCACTTGTACACCAATAATTGACTCCATTGGCACCTCAGTCCGTGGAATGCTAACTGCGTGTGGTGGTAAATATATTGGACCGAGTATACCGAAATCACATTCGTAAGCTATTTGACTTCGGCATGTTGCATGAGCCTGTGAAAATGTATATTTTGAGTACAATTTAAAAAAAAACTCATGGCAAATTAACGAATTAAGTTATATTTTAAGTAATCTAGCAGTGTCTAAGTATATTATATACTATAGGTACTTAATATAGTGAGTAGCATTTATTAAATTAATAAGATAGTTTATTTTGAACATGTAGCTATATACAGTCTAACCTCACCTATAGTGATAAAGTAAATGTTGATCTAGAATATTATCAGCCATATTTATTAATTAAACTGAAAACCAAAAGAATGCCTAAAATAATAATAGATACTAATATTATGAAATAAATTAAGTAATATCATTAAGATCAGATTTAAATGGACATATTAATATATTATATTATAAATAACAAATATGTATGTATATTGTATAATATAATATAATATTTAAATGAAGGAAAACGATTTAAAATGTATAAAATAAAGAAGAAAGATCTAGATTTAGGTAAGACAATGTTTTTTTTTTTATATTTAACGTCTTACTAAATTTTAATATTAAGGAAAAAATTGTCAAATTAAAATCTTGAAAACCTTATTTTGTAAGTTTCGATCTATAGTAAAAATCTTTAAAATGTAGCATTCTACTCTATATTTTTTCTCTGCAAGGAGTAAGGACAATTAAGGAATCATCATAGATATGTTTTTGGGTATTGTTATAATTGAAAACAATTTTTCTTCCAGCAAAAAGTATGAAGAAGAATGTTACATATTTTAAAGAATTTTCAGTTGCGAAATAGTATGGCAGACATTACAATGATAATAACATAATCAGTGCTCGAATTGGGAAAAATTAAGTAGAGGAGCTCAATCCAAGGATTAAAAATCTAGCGTTCCATTGGCGCAATTACTCAACACAGTCCCGAGGGGGGCCTTGCCCCCCACACCCCCCACGATCCTGCCTTACATACATTTTGAATACCACTATTCGGGAACACATTTTGAATTCTAAATAGGTATAATATATTTTGAAAGCAATATCTACATCTTACATTGTTACAGTAGAAAAAAAAACTAATAATAATCTACCTGTTTATTCAATGTACTATATTATAGATAGCGAATTAATAATTATTGTTTTTGATTCAAAAGAGACCACATATTTTGATAAGTATAAAAAAATTTAAAATTCAAAAACACCGATAAATGATACCATAACTGAAACTGATAGCATTTCATTCCGAACACGATTTAAGATATTACAATTACACACCAGTATCTGTGCCTTAGATAATATATTTGTTTATGATATTATATGATCTGTGAACTACTGACTATATAGGCAAAACACAGAGTGATATTAAACTAATGGCAAAAATAATTTTGATATGAAATAGTAAAAGTCATTATATAATTGACATAAATTGAAATTCACATTTTAATAAAAATTATTTTGGACATTAGTTTGTACCGTCCCCTCGTCCAAGTAAAAAAAAAAAATAGAAGGGGTACGCAAAATAAAAATAAAAATAGTAGGAGAGATCCGTTCCCCCCACCAATTCGAGAACTGATTATATAATTGGTTACGCGAAATCGGTCAGAAAAAAGTTATATCCAGCTCAAAAACATACCAATATGTTAAAAAATGTGTATTTTTGTCAATAGAATAATTGTTATGCATTGATGATAATACAATCATATTATATGATTGTGATACATCAATGTACGAAAATATAAAAATATAAGCTATTCTTTAAAATCATTAAAAGTTTCTGTGTAGACTAGACCAGCGGTTCCCAACCCACGGGCCGAAGCTGGACGCTGGTCGAGAATCTAAGCCAAGGGTCAGAAAATTTTAATTGGCATCAACATCGAGATTTTTATATGATTTTATACATTCTATATAGTGCGTTTATCATCTTATTTGTGTGTGTCTATATTTTATATTTTTATACCTGTATATTAGGTCAGTGGCCCTCAAAGTTTTTTTTACGTAATTGGTGGTCCGCATAACTAAAAAGGTTGGGAACCGCTGGACTAGATCATTTTAATTTTATTCGGAATAGTTGAATTGAATATAAATTTATTCTCACGGAACATAATAATTGTACAATGAATATATTATGGCTATACTGGTTTAATGTATACTTAAGTTGTATGATTAGTTACAACCCGGGTAGATCATTGATAATAATCATTTCATTTGGTATATAAGTAGGCATTATAGTAAAACATAATTTAAAAATGTCCACAACAATTCAACAAATTATATTAAACGATAATATTTAAATAATAATTCAAACTTGAGATGAAAAAATATATGTATTTACTATTTATCGTACTTAAGTGTTGACATGTATTCCATTTTAGCATCAATTGTGTATTATTGTTAAATCGTTTGTCATTTATAGTCTAGGATTTACAATTTTTTTAACTCTTGTATTTGCGCAAGCGTAATAACTTCACTTTTTCCGTGTACCTACCCTGTGTTTTCGTGGTCACACAATATTATATTTTTTGGGGTTTTAAAATTGACTAATTTAAAAATATCAATTAAAATATACTAATAGAAGTAATATATTATGTATATAGAATAGGTAGGTAGCTAATTGGTTTCACTATAACTCATTTGGTCATTTCAAATAATCATCATAATCGTTTATTGTAAAGATTAAAGCTTGTTAATACTTATTATACATATATATTATATTATTATATGTAACCTAGCTGTACCTATTGTCGTATTATTAAATTTTAAAATCATATTTTATGTAAAACACCTACCTTGCATCGTGGAACAATCATATTTGGGATTTAAACTATTATTACGCTATGCACATATTAATAAACGCATTTTCAGCTAAGATTCACTTACTGTTATACCACACCATTCACATCGAAATCCTGCCAGACAATCGGTGGTCCAGCATGGTTTGGCACAAGCGTAGCACACTGCACCAGGTCTAAGATTTCCTTCTCTCCAATGATGTTCATGATGCACGGAATCCAACAACTTTCCGGGGTGATAGGTAGCTGTTTCCTTACAATCCGCCACTGCCGATGATATGCAATCGACATGGGTATAGTAATGACAAACTGTAACAGTTTTACATGTAGGTATTTGTATACTTTTTAATAATATATAATGGAGGGAAATCTTCAAAAATTTAATAATTATGTGTTTTAGGTAGGAGGTATTTGTAAATTTGAGAAAGTATCATAATGGGGCCTATTGACAATTTGGTTGAAAACCAAATTATTAAAGAGAATTTTTAAGTTTTTGATTTGCGATACTTTTTTTCATACAATTTTATTTATCCAGTCATCCTATGTTATATTTTTCCATTCGGTATTAACATATTATATTACAAGATAGTTTTGTGCTCCACAGCTCCATTTCTTCGTTAATTATAATTTGAGTTCACATTTTTATATCTGCAGAACTATGCTATATGTACTTATTTTAGAATTTCAGTTGAGAATTACATTATTTTTAAATTATCTTCAACATTCAACAATATTATAGGCACCACTGTACTATAAAAATAATAAATGATCAGTATAGCTTTCAATTCACCAAAATATATATCTACTTTCCCATTATCCAGAAATTCTATCAACTTTGGAAATAAATTAATAACATAAGATAACCGTATAAAAGACTTAGTAATTATAATGTTCAATATTTTCTTAGGATTTATTCTCGGCTTATAAGCATAGATTTAAAAATTATGAATGTTATATTATATTTTGATGAATCTGATGAGTTATAAAGGGAAAATAAAATATTAAAGCAGTTATGTTTTTCAGTCCATAAAAGTGTATACAATAATATATAGTTTTGAATTAAAAAATTGAAGTCATTAAATTAGTAAACTTTTTAGGTACTAGATACTAAAATTTTTTTTTTCAAGTCTTAATTGTTTAAATGTTATAATGTTCCCTTTTAAACAATATATAGTATGAACTAGGTTATTATCCAAGAAACTTTGATTAGAATGCAACTAAAAGTGATGATCGAAATTAAAATAATACGTCACATTTTTTTTATTAGGATATTTACAATCTGTAATAAATTTATACAACAGGTAATATGGGGGGGGGGCAAGTATACAGGACTGGACGTGATAGAAGAGGGGTCCAATGACCCTCCTTCATAATTCTAAGAGGTTTTTTTTATTATTATTAATGTTAAGGAGATCCCTGGGCCAATTCCGTTTAAGACGGCGGGTTAGGTTATCAGGAAGAGTAAGAGAGGAGAGGTTTGAGATTAGAGAATTTGAATGGTTGAAAGTGTTTTCATGAAATGATTTATAATAGTGTGCGCCTAGTGTATGAGATTGGTTGGGATTTTGAGGTCAGAGTGGAGAGAGAGATTGCTGAAGTACCAGGGGGCTAATTATATTATAGATTTATTTATTATACCTAATGGAAATCTCAAAGTGTGAACAAATATAAATAGTAACTATGTAAGATTTGTACATATTATTTCAAACAGACTACAAAAAAGAGGAAATAAATAGTTATAAAAAATGTTTCTTCAAAAACAAATAGGTAATAGGACAGTTTTCGATGTTTTGCAAATTTAAGCTTAGATTATAACTAAAAATAAAATATTTATTCTAAACTATTATTTATTTACCCATAAAAAGTAATTGTCTAACTTATAAAAAAATGTTTTCAGTGTGGGATTTTATCATTTTGATAGGGTTAAAATTGAAATTTTTATACGCAAATTTTATTCGGGTGAAATTTCGTTTAATTTAAATTTTACAACACTATTTATATAAGGATAATAGATGTATACTTACTTTCACATGTAACGCTGAATGTTCGACCATCAATTCTTTTCCGACAAACGTTACAACATCTTTGGTTTCTAATTCTTACTGGTTCGGACCAACAATGTGATACTGGATTCTAATGATAAAATAAAAAATATAGATACCAAACTAAAAGTTAACTATTTTATGGGGTATATTATATAGTGTTACCTACCTTAATTAAACTAGCTGCTAGACTATGGCAAGGTGATATGCCGGGTTTTTTTAGGCAACTTTCGTGAGCTATATAATTACATACTGAAACATTAAAAAGCAAAAAAATCAAAGGCTGTAAGCGATCTACAGTTTACACAATAATATAAACAGGACCAAAACCAACACGTTTGTAGGTTTTAATATCTACACTTATGATAAATTAAATTAAGATTTGTACACAAATTTGACACATATTTCCGTACGATATTCTCAATATTCTCATAGTTGCAAACAGAAGAAAGTAAGTTAACCAACACTTAAAAATAATTATGTTTCAAACAGGAAATCAAATAATTATTTAAATATTCACTCAATATTTTTGAGAATTTTATTTCCCTAGCTTCTGAGATTTGTGCTTATGAATATCCAAAATTTCAATGCTAACTTGTTTATTCAATGTTCATGAGTTAAAATAAGCGAACAAAATCTCATTAACGAAAATTGATTTCCATATACTGCTTTAAATATATAATATATACAATTGTAACAAGTTCATTGTATAAACATAATGCATTGTAAAATTCGGTACGAATTTAGTTAGTAATAAATATAAAAATAATAATTACGTCAAATAGTACGTTAAAAGAATAAATTATGTATGTAGTCGTATATCTCCTTAAAAATTGTAGGTAAAATAATCTGACTCATAAAATGTGTTTAATTTCTATAAATGTATTAAGTATTTAATAACTAAATTACTTTTCATCGATACATTTTTTTTTAATGGGTAACTGATACTATTGCCATTTAATGTAGGTACATTTAACAAGATATTTATTCGTATACAGTTGTATAAAAATTATCAAATAACATACTATATTTTTAATCTATTAAATACCCATTTTTTTTAAATAAGTACTTTATTAGTTTTTAGTTCATAGCACTATTATAAATTTAAATCCCTTCATTATAGTTTATATTAAATTATATAACGTAGGCAGACTTTAACTGAACTGACTTGTGTCGGTTTTCTTTTTTTTCTTTTATAGGTTTTTTTTTTTACATTTCGGTCAATATACAATGCATTTGTTACTGCCAATTATATTTTGAATTATCTATCAATGTATTTGAATCTAACATTTCCCTCGAAGCATAGCCGTATTTCTAGACACATATAAAAGAAAATATTGGCACGAAAAGTGTGATAATAATATGGGAAAGTACTATGGAATTCGTAAAGAAAGTTCAACATATCTAGTCGTATAATATGTTAAATATTTTCATTATGGGACAAGTATTGTTTATTAAAAATATTCACGTGTATTACGTTGCAGCAGTACCAGAATCCATTTCGTTATTTTACTAAGGTATCTAACACATTTACACATCATATTATTTAATATGTCTAAAAGTCACTTTTTTCATCGACTGGAACCCCCTTAACCTAGTTATAATAATACCAAGGAAATTTAAATATTTTCTATTGCACATAAAATATTTTATTATTTATTATAATAAATTTGAAATGATGTAGGTATGGAAAAGGTATTTCTAAAAATTATTTTTATATATTTAAAGTAATAAAATAATTACAGTTGGATATTACATTATAAAATGTACAATATTTTAAACTTGTAATCATTAATATTATTAATGTTTCAATTCACTTGGGATAGTACTAGGTATATTAAAAAAAAATATATCTAGAAGTAACTTCTAACAACACTAGATTCCATGATTTTATATTAGATTTCAATTACTTTCGGAAGTTCGTGTCCTGTCATGCACAGGTTATCTGTACTCTTGGGTAAAATTATTTTTTTAACTGCAATTTATTAAACACATGTATCCATTGTTATAATATTATATGTACGTTTTTATATTAGAGGAAATATAATAATAGTTATGGGCGTTTTGTAAGAGAGTACAATTATTCGGGGGGCAAGTCCCATAGGGATTATAGTGCGCCGGGAATACGGGTCGAGCAAGTTTTTGCCTCTGACGTCACGAAGATATTTGCTAACAGTGTTGGAAACACAACACGTTTACGGTGAAAACATTTATTTAAGTACAAAAAAATTTAATTTCACAAACACATTTAACAATGCGGATTTTGAAACGAAAGACCATCGAACACCGGTTACCGTTTCTACGAGAACAAGACGTAAACTACAATTAATATGTACTTTTATTGCATACACAGAACGCCGTTTAATAATAATTCCTTTTATGTGGGAAATTTTATTTGGTTAGATTATATTCATTTGAAGTAAATTGTTTCAAGTTGGGATTATGCTTTTTGTTGTGACGTATTATAATCCTTATAAATAATACCTATGGGTTAATGGTTCTTATTAAATCAAATACGTTAGGCACCATTTATTTATATATTTTATAAAATGTGTTCATATTTTCAAAATATTATACAATATCTCAATCCCATAAAATATTGAAAAACATATTTTTCAACTAGTTTAAAATTAATGTATAACTATAGTATATATTTAACTGGATTATATTAGTATGCTTAAGCCACTTTATCATCTCCCATTGATACAACGTGAACACTTTTAGAAATAATTTTAACCCTTAAGCAGAATACTTAAAAAAAATATTTCTATAAGATATTTTTGATCATAGTGACGAAATGGCATTTACTCTTGATATATTCGATTTATTTATCACAATTTAGTTTTTTTTTTTAATTCTAGTTTAATATAAATTGATTAATTTTTAAACTCATGTTTTGTCAGTTTAATCTAAATATTTTTATTCATTAAACACCGTCAGTAAACATCGGTAAACAATTTATTTTTCAAATAAAGCGTGTTGAGCATATTATACCGTTATGTTTTGTTTGTCTTTCTCTCATCGTTCTATCGGCCACTTCACCGCAGATCAATGTTAAAACTTTTCAGTGTCGACAAGACCAAATAGGTCATAGCTACTACAATAATTACCGTGCATTAAACAACATTTTATGTAGGTATGATGTACCTATACATGTGTATTTATGTGGTTAATAACAAAATACACTATAAGAAAACAAAAAAAAAAAGATTGGCTGTGTATGTCTTTTACAATCTATATTACATTGCATTTAATTTAATGTATGATTTTAAATATACCACTTAATACCTATGTATGATTAACTTATTAAAATTTTAATTTGACAATAATTCTAAATATTTTGGAAGTATAGAGTTATTACACTCGCGTATCTTTGATTACAAGGGGACCAAGACAGTAATTTAAACAATAAACTAAAATAAATATACTTAGAGTCTTAGATGTAGAAGTATCAAATGATATTATATCGAAAGAGTTTTGTCAGAAATATTGAACATTACTATAGAACTCGATAAGTGAAAAACCCCATTGAATAAATAATGACGAGTATAACATTTTGGTCGATGTCAATTTATAATTTACTGAACACGATACAATTTATTCAAGGCCAAAAACCGTTTCTAACAAATAATTCTTCTGCAACCTGAGGAATACACAGTTACAACAAAACAGTTTATTATATCATTCTGAATTATATAAGTACCAGTTGATATGGGGGTCAACGCAATCGGTAAAACAATCGACAAAGTACACCTGTGGTATAATCGGTTTATGCGGTCTGCATATAGAAAACAAATAATATGTAATACTAAAATGAATAGACACATGTAAACATATTTTATAAAAAGGTAAGTACTACCTACTATTAAACTTTAGAGAAATGGCCATAAGGTCCTTAAGGCCCACAAACGTGTTAATTGTACAAACCCCTCTCAACTCTCCCGTTAAAATGGAACAAAAAATCTCATCGCCGATGTAGAAATAACACCACTACCAGCACCATCACTACCACCACCACCACCACCATCACCACCGACACTCTCGTCATACTCGTAAGTTCTAATAATAATAAATGTGATAATATATATAGGTATATAATATATACATATATATATATAAAGAGAGAGAGATACTTGCCGCAAAGTGGATGATGTCAAGGAAATTTGTATCAGGAGAGGAAATCAGAGGGGTAGGTTTGAGGTGGGGGAGGTTCGCACGAGCGTGGGAGAGAGAGAGAAAGAGAGAGTGAGAGCGAGTGAGTGGGCGAGAGAGCGACAAACACGGGGGGACAAACCTGTGCAGAAATTGCCCTGCGTCACGACGCCCCACAATAAATTGGTGCAATTGTGACAGTAGGCCGGTAGGTGGAAGGTTTTCTTGGTGAATACGTGCCCTCGGCAATCCGCCATTGCGCGAACAGCACTGCCGCCGCCGCCGCCTTCCCCACCGCCACCCGCACCGGCGCCCGGCCGCTTCCGTCCCAGCCAGATTTCCTATATGTGCCGAAACCCGGTCGGCAAACACGTCACTACGATCGCACCGCGCACGTACACACACGCACACGTCCCGACACACGGGACGACGAAGACGAAGACGACGACGACGATACCGCAATCAAACGGCACCGGTGTCCGGAGGTTCGCGTGTTCGAAGTGATTGATGCGTTACTACATTGTTCGGCGGCACGGTACGTACGACGAGCGAGCGGACGAGGCGCGAAAAAAAATGTCGCCGCCGCCACCACCACCACGGCCACCTGCACTGGGCGGCGCGGTGTACGCGATGCTGCGCGTTAAATTATTATGCCGTTTGATGATATTATTATGACAATATAATAATAATAATATTACAATCAGCTGCGAGCGAGATACAACGCCACGACCACCGCCGCCGCGTGCGATCGGCACCGCGGCCGACGCTCGTGCAGATATAACACTACGGCGACGCGTGTCGCGCGGTGCCGCTGCCGATGGTCTCTGGTGCGCGGCGGTGTAGCGATCCGCCGACGACGACGACGAGGAGGCCGCGGAAAATACGGCGCGCACACACGCGGGGGGCGCTATTGCAGTAGGGTGCCGGCAAACTTAGATATAACAAACGAAAAAATACAGCGCGGAATATAATAAATGATAAATAATGTATAACGGTATAAAACGCGACTGCGATCGCCCACGGGGCCGCGCGGATAATCACGTTATTTCTGGCCCGTATTCCATCGTCGCGGCACGACTAACACAGGACGAGAGCACCGTCGTGGTCTCCGTCGTTGGATTATCGCGCGCGTCACACTCTCGCACACTCCCGCACGCGCTAGAGCAAGCACACGCACACGGGCACACGGGACCGCACGCCCGCACACGCCAAAGTATACACGCTCTGACACACACGCACACACACTCAAACACGAGCGGGCGCGCGCTCACAAGCACACACACACACACACAAACACGAGCGGGCGCGCGCTCACAAGCACACGCACACAAGCGCGGCGTGCAAACTGTCTAGGGCGCGCGCGCGTGTGCTGCGGGCCGGCAGGCGGGCGGCGGCGGCGTCGACTTCAGCGACTATATCGTCGACAGACGTCACGGGCTGTACTCGGGCGCCGCGCACACGCACAACTCACCGCCACGGCGTGTACGTACGTATGCATGTTTGCACGTATGCGGTGCTACGGTGGTGGCGGTGGTGCCGCTGGGCAGCCGACGGCGATGACGCCCCCGCGCCAGTCGGCCAGGCCCTTCCGTCGACTCGTCGGCGTCGATAAAGTGTCACACGGGGGGCGCCATCTGACGACCAACGCCGAGAGTGTTCCGCCACCAGCTTTTACCGTGTGCGCAATGGCCGCGCGCCACCGTAATATAATTATAGCTGATGCCGGCCGTGGGACGGGTAGCGTACCAGCGTACCTACCTATAAAAATGTGATTGAGGGGAAAAAAATCAAAAATTGCTGTAATATCATATAATAATAATGTAATAATTTATTATAGACCTATGCGGATATAAGTGACCTTCCGCGAGTATACTGGAACTCTGGAAAATTCGTTGGAAGTGTTTTAATGGGGCGGCGTGGTGGGAGGGCATCATATCAGCAGCAAGTTCGCCGGAGCGTATATAGTAGTATAATATTATAAAATGCGAATTTACAGATTAGTCTCGTCGTGTTTATACAATATACTACTATATTGGACTATATGTATATGTATTACCTATGTGTAGACTTTTATGGGTAATTGGAGTGATTTCGAAAGCAGCGGGGTTGATATCTGTCTTCCGTCGATTCTGTGTATATGCATTATACGTTATAATGTTATGTTTTACAAAGTTTATATATTATACTAGCAGATCCCGAGCATTTCGCTGTCCGTAAAAATTACAACTCTTGAAAAAATTGTGATTGTTCAACTCTTTTTGGGTGCAACTCACTGCAGCAGTAACCCTGGTAGGCAATGTGTGAAAATTCAATTCGAAGCATTCTTGTACCGGGTCAGCCCGATTAACCAATGACAACCAATAAAATAATAAACACTAATTTCTACAAATTATTTCTCGTATAACCATTATTAAGCATTGACCAATATTTACCAACCATTTATAAATAAAAATGTTCATAGTAAATCTCAAAATCCCTGTTTGAGCGCCTCTCCGGGTTGGACCTACCTGGTCCAGTTGTGAATCTAAATCATCCAGAGAACCACTCAAACACACATAAACAATTTCATCAATATCGGTCCAGTTGTTTAGAAATGCATAAAGGACAGACAGTCAAACATTAATTTATATATATATTCAATATTGAGATACTATGGATAGATTATAATACATACTAACAGTAAACAGTAAACAATATATATATATTAGATACAGATTACAGTGATTTTTTAAGCATGCTCAAACCATTTTTATGTTTAAGTTGTGCATATATTCAAATTCTGATTCTTGAAATTTTTAAATATAGGTATAGGTACTAGGTAGTTAAATACTATATTTTTGAATAGGTACTTAGATTATTCACAATATTCAAGGAATATCCTGTGGTGATACCCTCATGGCATCATTGGTTTTTAAATGAGGACCTATGTCCTACGTGTTTTATTGCAAATTGTGAATTGTAATTAAAATTTGAACTAAACGTTTTTGAGTTATTCTATTCTAAATACTAAGGATAATAGTACATTAAAAGGATATTATTTAGTTACTAATTTATGTAGATTATTGTGTGTAAATGTGTAATGTTAAACCATAAGCATTTTGTAAGATTAAAAACATTGTCTGAGGATACTTTACTAAGTAGGTAGTAATTATTAACAAATATTGCATAGTAGATAATAGATATACTTAATTATAATTATCGATCTCGTAACTCGTTACAAAGTAGGTATTTGCTAGAATATTATTAATGTATTAGAATTATGGCTTTAACAAAATCGGCATTCGTTGGTCGGTTGATATTTCATTTCAAGTGGTACAGAATTACCTATATAGGTACATATTATATTGCTTAATTTCATTTATTATAATCACTATTTAATAAACTGCAGACTCCACTATAACTTATTGTGTCGAGGTGAATATTGAGCAAAGCAATACTTGTCCCAGTTGTCTGACCTTAAGAAGTTGTATATTTTAAAATATTTAAACGTATAATATATAGTGTCTGATTAATTTATTATGTAATTGCAAAATATAATTTTAATTGCCATCACTCATCAAGCATTATTGTAGCAATATTATTTTAAAAATCATGTCTTTACAAGAATGTATTTATTATTTAGTCATTCACATTTTACTTTTCCACTAGGAGGAAAAGGAAACCGTTTACATTGGCAGAAAATAGAACGTTTTGCTATCTTATATATCGGAAAGGGTTCATTTTGAAAAGGAGGGCGCCTACAACTACAACAAAGCTCACAAATCATGATATAGCATATTCAAAATTATTTCAGATATTGTAAATGGTCATATACCAAATATAATATTTCATGACAACTAAAATATTTTAGAATAACATACTCAGTGTCAAACATTTTTTTATTCCAGCTATAATAGCAAAACATGTAAAACATGCAAATAAATACATGTGTGTAATTCATTTATGCTTAAAAAAATATACACACATTTTGACTTTTGTAAATTTCAATTATACCTGATGGTTGACGGCTGTATAATACGGCTGTCGGGCTGTAAGTATAATAATACTCTTTACCACCACTAATTTTGTTAAAATATCATCTTTCAGAGTCCATATTGTTGTCTGATCGACTATGTCAATACACAGGGTGGAGAAAAAGGATGGTCTCTCATATTATATTTGTATAGGTACTTGTAGAGGACATAGGTACTTAGTTTAATTATTGTATTTTTTAGAATCTGAGTGGAACGATGAATGTATTGATTTTACAATGATGTGTGTTTTTTTTTATTTATTTTTGTCTGTATACACGATAAGTATAGGTAGTTGAAATAATGCTTCGCTTTTCAACTTCAGTATCTTGTTTGACGGGAAAGTGAATATTGTTGGTGCACTGGGAGGTAAAATTTTAATTCCCAGTAATTTTCAAAAGCGCCGTGAAAAACAAAAGAAAAATTAAGGAAAAACAGGAATTTGTACGCAAAATCAATTTTTAACAAAATCTACTTTGGTTTTTGGTGTAATACATTTAAATGGTTGTTTATATTTGAAATTTTCTATACACTCTAAAATTTTAAAAATATTTTGATTTGTTTTGAACTGTTTAGGGGCATTTTCAGATTCCAATTTTATTAGTTTTTTTTTCTAGGAATGTCAATAAAACTTTTTGTCGACTTAAAATACTTGAAAATTGAATACAAGGCTACTACTATATTGTTACAATGACGTATATAAAAATCCTGAGTCACAGTTTTTTTTTATAAGCATTTAAAGTTCAAAAATTGACAAAATATGGAAAAATCACGAAAATTAAAAAATTATTTTGAGTTAAGAATTCGTAAAAATTTTTCTTTTTATATCTAAGATTTTAAAATTTAATACAAGATTCCTTATAAGATTATCTAGTATTTGAAATTTAAATTTTTACTTTTTAGATTCTGAGCGGAGCGATGAATGTATTGGTTTTACAATGATGTATGTTTTTTTTTATATTTTTATATTTTTATATTTTTATATTTTTGTGTCTGTCATCACGTTTTGGGACAGTAAAAGTGCTTCGATTTTCTTCAATAGTACCTTTTCTGATAGGAAAGTGAATCTAGTTGGTACTTTGGGGGGTCAAAAGTAAACATTTTCCAGTAGTTTTCACAAGCGCCGGGAAAAACAACATAAAAATTAAGGAAAAACGGGAATTTTTACACAAAATCGATTTTCCAAAAAATCGAATTTGGTTATTGGTGTAACTTTAAAACAAATGACCGTAGATACATGAAATTTT